AGGTACCCAGAAACAGCAATAAATGTCATTATCAAATAATTTTGTCTGTTCTTTCATGTCTAGCTTTTCACTCAGCATGTGTCTGAGATTCATCTGTTACTGTATATAATTTTTATTGCTTTTTATCCATTGTATGATTATAATACAGTTCATTTATCCATTCCACTGTTAATAGCATTTGGATGGGTTCCAGTGTTCAGCTATTATGAATAAAGTGCTGTATACATTTATATATGTCCTTTTTGGACAAGTATTTTTCTCTTGAGTAAATACCTAGGAGAATAATTGCTTGGTCATATGGTAAGTGAACATTGAATTTTGTAAGAAATGCTAAGTTATTTTCCATAGTAGTCATACCATTTTACATCCCCACCAGCAATATGAGAGTCCTGCTTGCTCCACATCCTTGTCAACACTTGCTGTCAGTCTTTTAAAATTGTAGCTATTTTGTATTCTAGTGGTTTCCTTGTGGTTTTAAATTGCATTTCCCTGATAATGGTGTTAAACACTTTTAATGTTTCATTGGCTATCCTATGTTTTCGTGGGAGAAAAATCTGTTCTAATCTTTTGCCCATTTTTTTATTGGGTTGTCCTATTAAGAAGTTATAAGAGTTCTTTAAGCAATCTGAATACAAGACTATTATAGACAAAATTCACAAATATTTTCTCTTATTCTGTAGGGGTATCTCTTCACTTTCTTGACAGTGTCTTTTTTTTTTTTTTAAAGATTTTATTTATTTATTTGACAGGCAGAGATCACAAGTAGGCAGAGAGGCAGGCAGAGAGAGGAAGGGAAGCAGGCTCCCCGCTGTGCAGAGAGCCCGATGCGGGGCTCGATTCCAGGATCCTGGGATCATGACCTGAGCCGAAGGCAGTGGCTTAACCCACTGAGCCATCCAGGTGCCCCTTGACAGTGTCTTTTGAAGTGCAATTTAAAAAAAATGATTATGCCTTATTTTTCACCAGAAATGTTTTTTTTTTTTTAACCAATCTGTGGCTTATATGGCTTATATTTTCCACTTTATTTTTTTAAAGGAAGGACTTTTTTTTTTTTTTTTTTTTAAGATTTTATTTGACAGTCGGGTGGAGAGAAAACACAGGTAGGCAGAGTGGCAGGCAGAGGTAGAGGGAGGCACACGCTCCCCATTGAGCAGGGAGCCCATGCAGGGTTTGATCCCAGGACCCCGGGATCATGACCAGAGCCGAAGGCAGCCACTCAACTGACTGAGCCACCCAGGCGCCCCATATTTTCACTTTCTTAAGTGTCTTTTGAGGGCCAGAAGATTTAAATTTTTATTAAATCCAGTTATCAGTGTTTTCTTTTTATGGTTTTTTATCAAAAAGCTTTGCATGGGACGCCTGGGTGGTTCAGTCGTTAAGTGTCTGCCTTTGGCTCAGGTCATGAGCCCAGAGTCCTGGGATTGAGGCCCGCATCTGGTTCACTGCTTGGTGGAAAGCCTGCCTCTCCCTCTCCCACTCCCCCTGCTTGTGTTCCTTCTCTCGCTCTCTGTGTCAAATAAATAAATAAAATCTTAAAAAAAAAAAAAAAAAGCTTTGCAGCCAGTTTTAATTTTTCCTGCTTTGTTCTAATCTCATACACATCAAAGATGAAATTTTCAACTAAAAAGAAAAAAAGACATTTCCATCTAGGGAAGGAAATTGAGAATTTCATCAGGAAGAGTATATATGCTGGAAATCAATAGAATATTACCTTCAAATTGCTCAGGCAAAGTATTTGGAAACTTAGAATTCGACAATGTCAAATGATCATTTAAGATTGAGAACAAAATGAAGACATTTTCAGGCAAACAGGACCTAGAAAGTTTACTGTGCCAAAGACCTTCAGTGAAAGAATTACTAATGACACACTTAAGAAAAAAGCAAAGTTAAATGGAGTAGGATGCAACAATCAACAGTGAGGAAAGAAATAAGAAAAACAGAACTGAGTCAAAGTAATACATATTGTAAAACATGAACCTTTCAAAATAATGGACCAACAGACACATAAAAATCTTGTATGACATTTTATACATTTATTCACTGTTGAGAGATACATATTAAAGTTTTGTTTGGCTTTTCTGGTAGTGAGACTACAACAGCCATATTCTATTTGGGGGATTTGGATAAGTTTCAGCCTCTCTTTTTTTTAAGGTAAAATATTACGTTTCCAACGCTATTCACTCTTGTTTCAACAGAAGCGGTACTTTTCTATCCATAGGGCAAGCTCTTTAAGAAAGTGTTTTCACTGAATTTCTAAAGTTTACATATAAATTGTTCATATTCAGTAAAAGCCTATTTACAAACAAGGCAAACAAAGGTCTCTGTCAGAATATCCACTCATTGTCTCATCCTACTCTAAGGCTAATTTTTTTCAAGGGGAGCCTCCTAGCAGTAGACATTCCCTAGCCCCACTTCCTTCTATATGCCCCCAATCCCTTTTCCCCACTTTGATCATTAACAGATGGCCTCTATTGCTTTTGTTCATGTACAGATCTCTCTCCCCACACCACATATACCATATGCTCCTTGAAGACAGGGGTTCTTTATTATTTGTGTCTGTCTGCCAATATCTTACAGTTGCTGGCATATAGTAAGCTTTTGATAAATCTTTGAATGAATGAATTCATGAATAGCTTTATGGCTTGGATATTTAAAAATTATTCATAATTTATTTTCAAATCATACTCAATTTGAGTTCAAATAGGTCAAAATCAATATACTACTCCAGGATGCTTTCAACTATTCAAACAACTCAAACAATATACAATACACTTTATTTTAATTAAGTAATTCATAATACTCAAAATATAGGTGAAATTAAAGACTATTATAAATATCTATTAATGCTTTATATTTTGCCTGTAATTTATAATATACCATTATAGACACATAAAAGTAGAATTATCTAATGAAAACATTTTCCTGTCCTAAGTGTATTTCTAATTCTGAAAACTATAAAAAATATTAACAAAAGTTATGTTACACAGTTTTCAAAAATATGACATATCCCATCAACAACTTTATGGGGAAATGACAGGTACAAGTTCTGGTATATTAGGAAGTTACCTTTAAAAAAATATGTTCAGAATCATAAGTTGGTATATTTGATTATGAAAACAAATGGTTGAAATTCTCATTAAAACAACTTCAAATTTCTCTAAATGTACAATTGGCAGAGAGATGAACTGTTGATCATTTCACTTCCCCAATACCGAAAATGCTGGGTGGAAAAGTTGGAAGAAAATTTGTTAAAAAATGAGATGTAATTAAATGAATCTTAGACCTTTTATTACTGAAAACTGAGTTACTAGTTGGCTCTGGTAGGGAGAAGTTTGACCATTCATTCAAAATAGAGTAACTTTATTTCCCATTCCACACATAGCTATTTAAAATATCTTCTTTGAGAACAGAAAAATTATTAGCTATTTGTGATCCAATCTAGCACTGGCTATCTCTAAACGGATACTCTTCTAGCATACTGGCACAACGTAGTCTGCAAAATTTACACCAGGTGAACATATTTTATAAGACATCTTGGTCCTTCTGGTGACTACAGTTTCTTGAATGAGAATATAAGATAGACTCATTACAGAACAAATTCTAAGTTACAGTACATTGTGTTAATGTAAGGCTCCAGTGTATTTTGGAAATGTAATAGACTGTAGCTTCTTTTCATGTTTACTGGAAAAAAACCCTATTATATAAATTCTTTCTACCTTGAGTCATTGGATACACCTTTCCCCAGAAGACATATCTGTTATATATACACTATTGATAACTTAGCTTTCAGCTTTAAGCGATTATTTGGTAGTATTACTGTTCTTTATTTTATGGCTTTTTAAACATTAAGTCCTCAAATACTTGAAAAGCATTCACTATATTCTGATAGTTTACAAAAAAAAAAGAAAAGATGTGAACACCAGCTTGGAAATTTGTCAAGTCTTGAAAAATCATTTTTTAAAAAATGGTTATTCAGTAACAGAAATTAAAGGTACAGAAATGAAACATACAAAAAACTAATTTTAAAATTCCATACATACATGATCCCCTTCACAAAATCAACCTATAATCTTGTTTCTTTGTCAAGAGAAGAGAGATATGGATCAATTAGTAACGTAAGTTGTTTTTTTTTTTCATTTTCAAAATAACCCTTTAAACAATCCATTTTTATAAGTCTAGGGTTTTAAAAAGGAATAAATGTGATATAAAGTTCCCTCTTAAAATATCTTGACCAATTCACTGTTTAGGCTTCAATTAAAATGAGCATTTAAAGACTTAGGATGTATGAAAAAATGTTGCACATTTCCAAATAAAAAAGTTAACTATATATATTCAATAACATTACATACAATTAATATAAAATAAGGCTTTAGGAAGGTCTAAGTCTAAATGAATTTTATAGCAAGTAAGTCAGCTGAATTCATGTTCTAATTTTAATGATCAAATTATCCAAACAGTAAACTACAAAACCTTATTTAGGATAGGAAAAGTCTGGTGTATTTATCTTTTTTTTTTTTTTAAAGATTTATTTGAGAGAGAGAGAGAGCCCCCCACCTGCCACACGCACACCCACATGCACTGGGGCAGAGGGAGAGGGAAAGGGAGAATCCCAAGCAGATTCTGGCACTGAGAGTCAGAGCCCTATGTGGGGCTTTATCTCATGACCCTGAGATCATGACCTGAGCCAAACCAAGACTCCAACACTTAACCAACTGCACCACCCAGGTGCCCCTAGTGTATTTATTTTGAATACGGAACACTTTTCTTTTAAGTTGAAAAAACTTGGGCAAAATTAGTTTTATATATTAGTTTATTTTTTAAAGATTGTATTATTTATTCATGAGAGAGAGTGAGAGAGAGCATAGCAGGGGGTAGGGGCAGGGGGAGAAGCAGACTCACTGCTGAGTAGGGAGCCTGATGAAGGGTTCACTCTCAGGGCCCCGGGATCATGGCCTGAGAGGAAGGAAGATGCTAAACTGACTGAGCCACCAGGCACCCTATGGTAGTTTTTTTTTTTTTTTTTTTTAAATAAACCATGTATTAAGACACATGGTTTAAAAGTACTGATTGACATACAAGAGGTTTTTGAAGAACTTTTCTAACTATTTGGGTTACAGATACAAATTTACAGAACTAGGGAGACCTGTAGTCTATATCAAAGACCACACCTTATTTATTTGCTATTTTCTGGTTCTTAAACTAATGAAGAATTATAATAAACAATCTATAACCTCTCCTAGTTCTAAAGTGTTGATTATATCATTTTGCTTTTAAATATAGTTAAGACCATGTCTCAATAAAAGTTGTCTAAATAGACAATGTTGCTCTTGAATTAAAGATTTTTTTCACTCTTTTCTGGCTGTTGGTCCCTCCGAGTCAGTTATTAGTGAGGAGCAAATGTTACATATTTTACTCAACTGATTCTGACTCTCTGTGACCCCCCTTCTCCCCAGAGCCCACAGTGCCCAGCACATGATAAACACTCAATACTTATTGAATATTCTTGAATGAACAGCAAAATATTAAGGATGGATCAAGTATTATAAAGAATCTGGAGATGGTAACAGTTGCTTTTATAAAACCCCCAAATAATAATTTAAAAGCTTCTAGTCTTTTTCAGATTTACTTTGGTTTGTCTTGGAAATAACAGCAAGGAAAATATGGCACAGCAATAGAATACTAAATCATTATAGGTAAACTACAGCTAGGACAGTTAAGTTTAAGTTTTCATTCATGTACTGAAGAAATGAATTTTACCTATCCTACTAGTAGAACCAAGCCACTCCAGTTACTCTGGGATATAATCATCTTATCAATAACAGAAAAAATATCTTCCAGTATTTCAGTTTTTATAATTGTAATTAAATTGCTTAGTTACACTATAGAATAAGAAGCCATTAGTTAATTTTTGGAAATAAAAAATATGTATATACATTACCCTGATACCTAAGCCCAAAATATATCTAACAACAATTTTTCTTGATTTCTATTAGTCATAAAAATAAAGGAAAAATATATTGCAAGTATTTTCTTTATAGGCAATTTCAATTAGAAAATAATAGTTTAATGAAAACACATGAGTAAACTGATATGGAGGCAAGAAAAGTATTCAAAACTTGACAGATAACATGTTGTCAAATATAACTGAAGAATATCAGCCTCCATGACACCATTTACAAGCAGTAACTGATTTTTATACATCTCAATTTTATCTTATATTCAAGGAAATACAAGTTAGTAGATTATGATCCTAAGTCTTAGTTAAGAACCCCTTCTTTTAGCTTGTAAAATGTAGCCTTTGGACTTGATAATTCCTCTGCTTTTAACAATGACGGAGTACCGCAGTAGCCACAGGGGCACCCACTCCTGCGCCTGGATGTCAGGGATGCTTTCCTGAAGAGCTTCTTGGAAACTGGCTTCAGAAAGCAGTTCTTAAAACAAACAAGTAAAAACCCAAAGTGTTAAGTTGGGAAATAACAGCACTTTACCATGTAGGTAAGCATTTAAATACAATCAGAGAAACAATTCAAAATAAATTTAAAGTATGCTTTTCCTTCATGTGTGCTATGAATCTAAACCGGAATATCAAGAAGAATCCAGGCAGTTCTTCAGAAAGTCCCTACACTTCTACCCCACCTATTTGATTCACAACCTCTGGTGAGTGGAGCCTGCTTTTTTTTTTTTTTAAAGACTTTCAGGCAACTCTAATTGTAGATTAGTGAAATGTAGATTCAGTGAAAATACAGGAGAGTACATACATAGGAGAAAAAGGAACGGTACCCATAATCCTATGAACCAGAGACAGATTACTTCCATTGCCATGTTATCCTTCCAAGATTCTTTCTGTACCTTTCCATATCTCAAAAACTGAAAGTCATGCTGTAGTTACAACCTAATTTACTTATCTTTTCAACTTTTATTATGATTCTTCCCATGTAATTAAATATTCTGTGGAAGCATCATTTTTAATAATTATCCAGATACTACATTATATAGATATCATAATTTATACATTTCCTCAGTGTTGATGAGAAAATTAAGGTTTTTCATAGTATTTTGCTAATAAAATGCTATGCTGAACATCTTTAAAATGCATGCCTGGCTATGGAATGACAAAGTCAAAGTACAAGTACATTTTGAAGGCTTGATAGACAGTATATTGCCAATTGCTTTCCAAAAAGATACTTCTACTAGTAGCTGATAATGTTAGAGTCCCCATCTTACCATATCCTCACGAGTACCAGCAATCATTTAAAAACTCTTTGGCAATGGTTATCTTTTCATTTGCATCGCTTTGATGAAATAATTATTTTCTAATTCCACATTGATGTCCAAGCCCTTGACTCCTGCTCCAATGTACTACTCCTCTGCTCACTGCCTCTTCTCCAGCCACACTTGCCTTATACCTGTACCCTAAAATCCTCAAGCACACTCACACTTTGGGGCCTTTGAATCAGCTGCTCCCGCTTCCCTGAACACTCTTCTTCCAGATTCTCACAGGGCTTTCACCCTTCCTGCAGGTCTGATTAATGTCTCCTTAGCAGAGAGGCCTGATTTGCCCTATATAAAACAACCCCTAAGCTGGGCACTCTTTTTCTCCCTCAGCCAATTTCTCTCCATAGCACATACCACTATTTCTCACATTTAGTATTTACCTTATTATCCATCCCCTCCCATCAAAAGGTAAATTGCATGAGAGTTGGAATTTATCTGTCTTGATCCTTATAGCCCTAGTACTTTGAATAATGAAACACTGTAGGTACCCAATGTCTGTTAAATCAATCAAGTAATATGGAAAGATTCTACCAGGTCAGAACCCACAACCCAGACAGAAACTAAGTGACCATCTATACAGTATGGCTTGGGAGTGCTAAAGGACCTGCCAGACCCAAAAGAACTGCTGTGATATTTGAGTAACATCAATAGTAAACTGTCAGTAAATGTTATCTATTATCATGTGCCAAGCACTTTTCTGAGTATTTTACATGTATTAGCTCCTTTAATCTGCATATTAACCCTACTAGGTAATATTCTCTCCTTTTCCAGGGGGCAACTGAGGCAGAGAGGTTAGATAACTTGCCCAAGGTCATGCAGCCAGTAAATGGCAGCTTTCATAAGTGGAAGGCAAGTATCTCTTTGGAAAAGTAACATGAACATGAATTTATCAGTCTATCTGACAAAGAACAGGACCTGGAGGGAATAAGGCATAAGGCAGATCAGATTTAATGGGAATGAGGGGAGGGTGAAGGTTCTGAGTCAGGATCACCTATTTCACAATTTCACCCTTACTGTAGTTAAACTGTTACCACAACTTCTAGGACAAAGAGTAATGGAAAATAAGCACTTTCTGAAGAATAGGGTAATTTTAGCATAGCCAATGGGCTTTAAAGGGGACTTATAAACATAACTCTTTTTTAGATGACAAGTAGAGTTAGATGTTTTACAAACTGATTGCTTAAAAAATAAAATGTGACACATAAGAGCTATGCTATTCATCAACTTAACTACATGCTTTTAAATTAACTATGTGAGCTCTTTAGAATCAATAAACACCATAAATCTTTTAAGAAAAAGAATTGCTTCATGGATTCATTAATGTTAGAAGCAGGATCACCCTATAAATTCTAATCAAAGGGTTTAGGATTAAAATTAGGAAGACGTTCAAATGTCAAGTTATGTCATTAAAGCAAAAACATACCAAAAAGGATTAAACCTCTCTTCTCATATGTATATGCAATATATTTTGCAATAACAACAATGCATTAGCACATACCCTCAAGCCAATATCTAGATACCAATGAAATAAAATACCAGACACCTTAGTCTTTTCCTATTTCCTTTCCTACTAGAAAAAGGAAAGGGTTTTTTTCAAGTGGAGCTAGAAGGGGATGCAGGCTCATCCCTCAGCTGTTGATAATAATTACTATTGGAAGAGCCTCCCCCAGGCCCCTCCAAAAGTAAACAGATAAAAATGATATAGTATCTGCCAACATATAGAAAGTTGGAAATTAAATGGCTTATGTTTCAGAATAAATAGGCATAGAAATTCTTTGTTAAATTTTCACTAAGATGACTTTTTTTTTTTCAAATTACTTACAAAAATAATTAATGAAGGGAGAGGCAAAAGTCATTATTTCCTATTCTGGTATCAATTAAATGGAAACTAATAAGAAAGTAAGGTTTTCAGACTGAAATACTACAATGCTAATGTCTCAAATCAAAAAGATAGTACAATATAGGGGGGAAGGTCCCAATTCGGCCAGAACCAAGTCCAAGTTTAAACTTTGCCCCATGCCAGCTGGGTGACCTTGGCTAGTTTCTTAAATTCTGAGGCTCTTACTTCCTCAACAGTAAAATGCCTAGTTTCAGCTGTTGTGAGGATTACAGGTTATCCCTCTAAGGCATTTAGCATGATGCCTAACATTTGAGGGGCAAAAACTATTAAAACTCTTCCTCTTCCTACAAAACAGCGAAAAAATGAGAATGGGGCAGACTGCTAAATAAATGAGTATAAAATGTAAAACATTCTCTTCCTAGCTTTCCTACTTATCCTGTAAAATGTTGATAAAACACACTATAGAAGGCGGATAAGCCATTCTCATTAATCAAATAGTGTTTCTGACTGGTACCAAACATACAGGTCTTGAGAGTAATGACTAATAAAATACCTAATCAATTACCTATCCTAATATGCTTTAATTTCAAATTAAATTTTATCTGCCTCTCTTTCCAAATATTTGCCCTCTTTAACTAAGTAGCTGTTTGGTACAATTTTTGCTGTACTACACAAGATTTTATATGATACTATTTAGAATATCTTACAAGGTCTTTTTTGTGTATCATAGTATTTATAAACTTCAACAGACTGGATGTTCAGAAAATGATCTCTTCAATTTTTTTTCTCATTGATAGACTAAAGCTTTCTGAAACTAAATGTATATATATTTTGGACTAACTATGAAGACAAGTTCTAGGTAACACTTATCATTGTACAAAATTAAAAATTACATTTTAACAAGTAGCTTCTTGTAATATAAGAGCTCATGACCAATCAACAAATGAAAATCTCAGTATTACCTTTTGGATCATTATGAGTCAATAGCTGTATGTCAAATTGTTTAGCAAATGCAGTCAAGTCAGGTGGCATCACACAGCAGGAAGCAAGATTAACTTGGTTACTATTTGGTTTTACCTAGAAGCAAAAAGAATCATGACATTGCACTAAATTAAGTACTACAAAAAGTGGAAAGCAATGAAAGAACACAATTTTAGAAAATATGAAAGACTCTATTTTATAGTGCTTAAAATTTATAAAACATTGTTATATGAATATACTTATTGGGACGCCTGGGTGGCTCAGTTGGTTAAGCAGCTGCCTTCGGCTCAGGTCGTGATCCCAGCGTCCTGGGATCGAGTCCCGCATCGGGCTCCTTGCTCGGCAGGGAGCCTGCTTCTCCCTCTGCCTCTGCCTGCCATTCTGTCTGCCTGTGCTTGCTCTCTCTCCCTCTCTCTCTCTGACAAATAAATAAAATCTTAAAAAAAAAATATATATATACTTATTAATGTACGCTTTTTAAACTCATGTTACTGGTAACAGGGAAAGGAAAGCTCTAGGAGGCGGGGGAAGGCCAATATAGTGCTATACTCTTAGAAACTCTTTTCCTGCAATCTAATACACTTGCCTCAGAAACAAACATGGTTCTAAGTGATGATTCCAGCTAATGAGGGAACAGGTCTTAAAGGTAAAGGATCAAATAGAAATGATAAGAATATTTAGCATTAAAGTATAAAATACGGTTATAAATCAGGCGCATTTTGAAAAAGAATTAGATAATTTCTAATAGCTGCTCTGGTTAATTTACAGATACATTCCAGATCACCCAAGTCTCTCTAGTGGAATCTTAGCCATATTCTGGTTCTCACTAAATTAAAGAGAGAAGGGACAATACTTTCTCTAAGGTCTTCCCGTCTAGAAGAAACTGAAAGCTCTGCAAAGAGAAGGCTGGGGATCAAGTAAAAGGAATAAAGAAAAATACAAAGAGTAAAGGTAAAATACTGGTAAGCACCGTCCCTAAATACTATCATATGTTTTTAGAGGCCAGAGGGTGGTAGTGATTAATTTGTGATGCTTATTCCTTATTGAATTTTGAACCAAAGTCTTTTATACTTTCAAATAAGAGCAAAATATTTGTTCCATGTGATATTCCCTCACCTAAGAAATCAGAACCAAGACCTAACCATATCTAAAGAAAAATATAGTATTTTTATCACAAAAGTAAAACTGAAGGAAATAGCCTGAATTCATTTTGGCTACAAACACTTCAGCACACATTTTCTAGTGTTTTTTTTCACTCCTTTTAAATGAGATCAATACTAAGGTCAATTAAATATACATTTGAGATGAAAAAGGCCAGTGCTTTAGATAAAGCTTGCCAAACTGCATTTAGAATAGCCCCCCCATGAGTGTCCAGCACAACACTGAACAGTGTGAAGCAAAGACTAAAGGACAGGCCCCTCCCAGAGCACTTGTGATCTAGCTGTGCTTTACCTGTGCCCACTGATACAGCTGTTCCAACTGAGTTTTGTCTAGATCGGAGGTACCTATCGCAATAATCTTTTTGCTCTGAACCAAGTTTTCTAATTCTTCCCAGTAAGGTTGCAAATGCTCCAAGGAGAGATTAACTCCATCTTCAATAGGAGGTGAAGCAATGATCACAGAATCCAGCTGTGCGACTCCAAGAACTGAACAGGCTGATGTGAAGGAAAACAGGATAAATATTTGCTACATAATGAAAACAAGTATTTCTAATGTCCCTCATGTATCCCACTAAATTTTGTCTGTAAAGTTCACTGGTTTTCTTATTTGGATTATTTCATTCAGTTTCATAATTTACCTACCATTTAGAACACTGCCATCCCTTAAAAAAATTACAAATCCTTGTTCATCTACTTGGTCTGTGTGGCAGACCGATCATTTTCTTTGACCTGCTTCCTTCCTAGGGACTCACAGCTCTGACAGTCCTTCTAAAGGGGAACAGTCTCCTTGTTTCCTAGGCCCCAAGCATTTTCTGGTAACTTCTTTATCTTCAAATTTTCTTCTCCAGTTCTAATAGTATCTTGTATGGATGATCACAAGAATTCTGACCTCATATTCTGTAACTGATAGTCATGGCAAACAATAGCTTTGAGACCCTGAAAAACTAAATTTATGGTCCTGATCTATATTTATAGAGGTAGATAACTTAATTTCTGTAAAAATAATTTAAAGGGTTTATTTTAAATGATTATTGTTTATTCCATAGTTATAGTAAAGAGCTAATTATTTAAGTGTTTAACACCTATAATACTAGAAGAATATTTTAAAAGAAAAAACATTGAATTGTAATATCACAATAATCTAACCAAGTAAACAAAGATGAGAATGCTTGCTTTGTTACTGTGGCGATGGTAGGTCATGAGGTTTTATCTATAGTACTATAAGGGCTAAGAAATATAGTTAAGGAGAACTTCATCTCCAAACATATAGTTAAAAATTATGTTACATCTTTTATGTTCCTCATATATATCAAAATACAAGTCCATATGATCTGACAGAAACCTTAAGAAACTAGGCTAGAACTTTAAAAAGTAAAATTGGAATGAGCTCATCTTTTTTTTCACCTGGTCCTGAACACAAGATATAACTAATACACCTACACTAATTTAAAGTTATGAAGGTTGGGTGCCTGGGTGGCTCAGTCGGTTAAACATCTGCCTTTAGCTCAGGTCATGATCCCAGGGTTCCGGAATCGACCTGCATCAGGCTCTCTGCTTAGAAGGGAGACCGCTTCTCCCTCTCCCACTCCCCCTGCTTGTGCTCCCTCTCCCGCTGTCTCCCTCTCTGTCAAATAAATAAAATCTTGGGTGCCTGGGTGGCTCAGTGGGTTAAGCCGCTGCCTTCGGCTCAGGTCATGATCTCGGGGTCCTGGGATCGAGTCCCGCATCGGGCTCTCTGCTCGTCAGGGAGCCTGCTTCCCTCTCTCTCTCTCTCTCTGCCTGCCTCTCCGTCTACTTGTGATCTCTCTGTCAAATAAATAAATATAATCTTTAAAAAACAAAACAAACAAAAAAAACCAAATAAATAAAATCTTTAAAAAAAATAAAGTTATGGAGGTAAAAAGTTAAAAGTTTTTGCTTACCCATGTCAACTGCATTTCTCATTGATGATGAAGAGTTTGATCCTACAATGAAGAGTTTTGCTGGGTAACAAAAAAAACAAAACTGATTACTACATTTTGGTAACATTTTACTAGACAGTATCAACACTGCCCACAATACTAAGCTGACAGAGAATCCTGAATGAATTGCCTTTTCTTTCCTAGTCACATAATTTTATGGTTTTCATTTTAAGATATGAAAGTACCTTTCCATTGTGATTTTTAAATTACATGCCAATTGCCAAAAAATATCCATTTGTCAAAACAAAAAAGCATATACTAATTTTCCATTTATTAGAAGGCAGGTCACACAAATATACAAATTACTCAAAATGTACATTTTTATGAATATTATTGGAAATGGAACATATTATATACATTCTCCAATAAACTAAATAAAAGGCTATGCTAAAATTGCTTGTAATGTGAAGAAAAACAAAAAAACCCCCTCACAATCCCATCTTCCTAATACAGTCATTTTAATTTTTAGACATTAGCTTCTAGCTTTTGGTCATATGGGGCAGGGTATAACATTTATTCTACTTCTATTTAGTTTACCTTTATGTAATATTTTTTACAACTTTATGAAGTTTTTAGTTCTTTTGACTTTTTTTTTTTTTAAATCATAGTTGTAATATATATTCACTCTAGAAATGAGAAAAACTGAGCGGAGAGGCGTTGGGGAATGTGGTAACTGGGCAATGGGCCTTAGGAAAGGCAAGTAATGTAAGGAGCCCTGGGTCTTATATAAGACTGATGAATCAATTGAACGCTACCTCTGAAACTAGCAATACATTATATGTTAATTAATTGAATTTAAATTTTTAAAAATGGGGAAAAAACAGAAATGAGAAAAACCCAAGAGTAGAAAGATAGACTAAAAAAAATTGCCAACAGTCTCATCACTGAATGCAGTCACTGTTTAGGTTTTTGTTTACTCTATTTTTAATGAATAATTTTACATACTCATTTTTTTTTAAAGAGTTATTTATTTGACAGACAGATCACAAGTAGGCAGAGAGGCAGGCAGAGAGAGAGAGGAGGAAGCAGACTCCTGCTGAGCAGAGCCCGATGCGGGGCTCGATCCCAGGACCCTGAGATCATGACCCAAGCCGAAGGCAGAGGCTTTAACCCACTGAGCCACCCAGGCGCCCCTTTACATACTCATTTTTAACGGTTAAACATTATTCTGTAATTTTGATAGGGTATAATTCAAATGATTTCCTACTTTTTGAACATTTACATTAGTTCCAGTTTTTTGTTATCACATACAATGCTAAAATAAACATCTTGTTACTTTGTTCAACTTTCTGCTGAAGCATTTCCCAAGGACAAACTGTCAGAAATGTGTATGAGTCAAAAGGTAAGCTCTTCTTTGTGGATCTTTTGTTGTTGTTGTTGTTGTTGTTGTTAAAGATTTTATTTATTTATTTGAGAGAGAGAGAGAGAGAGCATGACCTGGAGGAGGGGCAGAGGGAGAGGGAGAGGCAGATTCCCCACTGAGCATGGCAGGATGCGGGCCCAATCCTAGGACTCTGAGATGAGGACCCGAGCCAAAATCAGATGTTTGACTGAGCCACCTAGGTGCCCTGAATTTTGTTCTATTTTACTTACTTCCTACTTTCATATAAAAGATTTGTACCAGTTTACAAGCCAACTAAAACTTAACTAAAAACTTAAACTAGCCAACTAAACTTAACTAAAACTTAAGAATTGCTCTCCTGGGGCGCCTGGGTGGCTCAGTGGGTTAAAGCCTCTGCCTTTGGCTCAGGTCATGATTCCAGGGTCCTGGGATCGAGCCCCGCATCAGGCTCTGCTCAGCAGGAGTCTGCTTCCTCCTCTCTCTCTCTGCCTGCCTCTCTGCCTACTTGCGATCTGTCTGTCAAATAAATAAATAAAATCTTTAAAAAAAAAATGCTCTCCTAACAACGTACGACACTATAAAAAATATAGTTTTTGCTAATTTAGTATGTATAATATATACCTATCCAGGACTGCATTAATTGGCTTTTCTTTGGTTACCAGGAAAGCAGAGTAGTTTTCTATTAAAATTGAGGCTTTAACTTGATTCAAACTCAAATTTATTTATATAGATTTACTTTATGTAAATTCACTGTTCAAAATCTAAATTTACTCAGTAGACAAATAGGTAAAGTAGTAGTAGAGAAAATCAGAAAAGGGAATGGAGAGAAAAGGGGGCTAATGAAATATCTATATGTAAATTGTATTCAATGTAAATATGTATTCAACAAACATAACAAATTTACCTTGTACATTTATTTGTCCTTTCTACTGCTAGATAATCTTCAAGCATTGTTTTCCTCACTGGATTTCTCTATTTAAAAGTCATCACCACTCCCCTACCAACCAGGTGAGAGTCAATCTTCACCACTTTAGAATAACTTTTTTTTTTTAAGATTTCATCCATTTACTTGACAGAGAGAGATCACAAGTAGGCAGAGAGGTAGGCAGAGAGGTAGGCAGAGAGGCAGGCAGAGAGAGAGAGAGAGAGAGAGAGGAGGAAGCAGGCTCCCTGCTGAGTAGAGAGCCCCCAGGACCCCGGGACCACGACCCAAGCTGAAGGCAGAGGCTCCAACCCACTGAGCCACGCACGCACCCCAATCTTCACTTTAATCCACCCATAGCTCCAATAATTATACTCCATGAAACCCTCCCTACCACTATCCCTCTTGCCACGAATTTGTGCCATTAGAAATGGTCTCCTTTCTCCGAAATGAGAGGCATTCTTGGTAGAGAAAGGAAAGCTCTTCATATGGGGAGAATTTTGATATATCAAAAATTTCAAGCCTTTTAAGAACTGAGAACAACCTGTAAGAGCTTCAAGATGGATCTAAACCATGAAGAACTGCAATCAACCACAGAGAAGAGGTTGCTTTTAGTTCCTTTCCAACACAAAAAGCGATGTGAAATTAATAGAAAGAAATGGGTTTTGGAGTCAGGCATACCTGGATGGATTCCCGGTTCAACCACTTACTGGTTATATGACAACTTTCAAGTTATTTAACATCTCTTGTGCAATGGGGATAATTCTACCTTGTAGAATTGCTTTGAGAATCATATGAAGAAACGTAACCAAAATGCACTAAGTATGGTGCCTGGTATAAAACAAGACTCAATAAATGGTAATTATGGAGTCAAAAAAACAATGCCCTATCTCATCTTACATGTCCACACTAATCAAAAATAACAACCAAAACAAAACTACAAATGGTAGTAAGTTAACAGCTACTTAGCACTTAACTTTTTGCTAAGCACTGTGCTAAGTGCATTTTTAAAAATTTTATCTAATTTACAAAGAATCCTGTGAAACAGACGCATCCCTATTTTACAGATGAGAAAACGAGGCTCAGAGAGGTCGAATAACTTGTTAGCCCAAGATTATATCAGTCAATAATCTGCATACCAAAGAATTTCAATCTAGTTAAGTTTAAGCTTTTAATGTCTATTCTATGCTGACTGTAAGCTGAGGGCAAGAACATCTCATCTCTTCATTTTTTTATTCCTTGAGCTTAGCATGGTCTCTCATAAATAGTTACTCGATACATCTGTTGAATGGGTATAACATGGATTTTATTTCTCTTCATGCAACTTGTGGCCCAGACTTCCGTCTATACTTCCAGGCAATTTCAGCCATTGCTCAGCAGTGTTCCACCAGGAAGGGAGGGCCTATGCTTGCTTTGGACAGACACTGCTCTTAAGCATTCCCTTCATTCTTTCCATTTCCTCCACCTTAGTTTTCCCGAAATCTGACATATAAATTAATGAGACCATGATGAAGAACAGGAAGGTGAGCTCCTCTTCTGACTCCACTCAAGGAGCCAAAACTGACCTCCTATAACTTTCTCTTGGGAGTTTCCATTATGTTTAAAAAAGAATATATAGGGGCACCTGGGTGGCTCTAAGTGTCTGCCTTCTGCTCAGGTCATGCCCCCAAGAGTCCTGGGATCAAGCCCCACGTCAGGCAGAGTCTGCTTCTTCCACTCCTCCCCACTTGTGCGTGCTTGCACGCTCTCTCTCTCTCTCTCCCTCGCTCACTTGCTACCTATCTCAAATAAATAAATAAAATGTTTAAAAAAAAGAATCTTTATATTTCTCACACTTAGTGACTGAGTCACTCCTTACCAGAAGCAAAGAAAGGCTTTTCCTCTCTGCCTGACAAAACCTCACTATCATTTCCACTGTGTAACAAAATAAGTTGTAAAGGCTGGATTTACCAGAAACTTTCATTTCTTCTCTTTCATCAGGATTTATCTTTTCTACTGCATGAGATACGGTACATTCCAAGACATCTGGAAATTCCTATAATAAACAATGTTTACAATAAATATAAAATTAATGTTTTTAATTAGCTATATGTTTTCTATTGTCCATAATGCCCTTTAGAAACAGGGAACCCATAAGATAACAGGGTTCTTTACCTGATGTCTGGATGGGCTTCATAAGGTTTGTAAAGCCCTGAAACAAAGGTAAAATGCTCTGTGTGTGTCCATTTTCTGGGGAAGAGGATCTCATTTTGATCAGGTGCTCAAAGGAATGCATGATCAAAAAAACCCAAACAAATGGTGGTGGTGGGGGCAGCATGTGAGGAGTTAGAACTACTAGCACAATATATAATTTTACTTAAAATATGAAAGCAATGAAAAATAATAAATATTTACCCACTCTGCATAAAGACATGTTAAAAGCTTCCTATATTAATCACAAACATTTTAAAGCAAGACTTTTTTTCTGAGCGCAATAAAAAAAGTAAAGGCAATTCTAATGCATTATAATTAATAATTTATGAGGAAAATGGTAAGATGTTAGTACATATAAATCAGAACTATATTAACTCACATTTACAAGATTGAAACAAAGTAAACAGTGAGGCCTTTCCCATAATTCTTGAGCACATTACAATGCCTGGCACATATCAAGGGCTTAGTAAGTGTTTGTCAGTCATGCATAAATAGAGGCAAATGGTCATTTCAGAGAAACAGAGACTGACAGAAGACATTAATCAACATCTGCCTAGATGCTATAGAGTTTACACTTGCAGAATGCCCACGGCAACAACTCTTTCCAGCACACGTCCTCGTCCATAGTTTTAAAGTAGCCAGTGTAATTTGTTATGAGCCTTTGGCTCATCTGGATTCCAAAGAATGGTTTGCAGACAGGTGGTCTGTATATTAACATTGATGGTAAGTCATTTATTAACACTTAATGAAATACCCAGTGTTTCCCTCAAAACTGACATTAAAAAACTATTTCTAGTCACTATATTATTATGATATTCTACCAAAGCAATTTAACAACCAAAACTGTTAAATAGTCATTTCTTTATTAGACCAAATATAAACTGGAACATAGTGAAGAAAAGTGTGATGGGAATTAAGCACAAAGAATCCTGGTATCTAGTCTAGTTGCAGAGTTGGTGACACACCCTGGATTTTATGTTTTATGCTTAAGCATACTGGGTCAGACAGCCATCTCAGTAAATCAGCCACAGGGAATTTTGTGCTAATTGCCTATTTGACTTCCCCATCAAAATTGGGGAAATTAATTTCCTGCTTACTGCATTTTCCTTTTGACCTACATAATTTCTTCATTCACATTTTACTTACCCTGACCAAATCAGGGCTGATTTGGGAACTCCACTCATTCAAGGTCTTTTGGATACAATCTCGAAGCTGTAAAAGGAATGCATTTTGAAACCATTAATCAAACTCTATACACTCTGCTGTACTTCTACAGCAAGAATATACTAATTTGATAAATTAGTTGAAAAAGATGTGAATAGGAAAAACCATAAAAACCAAAATTTTAGTTCTATAAGGTTTACATTTTCTTCAACAAAGACAAGTTTGTATCTGTTTTCATCTTAACCTTCAAATGTTGAAGTATTTTTAAAGTGTCTTTGTACCAATGAAAGTTTAAGTAAGGCTTTGAGACATAAAAGCATACACAAAGAAACAAAATTTTTCAAGAATAAAGTTTATAAATAGAGGAACATGAATTCAAGCTCAGGGAGCCTGACTAAAATTAATATTAACCACTATGAGAGAATCCTTAAAGACAAATAAATGACTCTAAGTGTGGCCAGAAAAACTCCATTATTCACCTGACGTGTTCATTAAAAATTCCAGTTCCTGAGCCCCATCCTAGACTGCTGAATTACTCTAAAGGCAGCAGAACTTGCATTTTAACAAGCATCCCAAGAAATCAGCATGTAACGTCTGACAACCACCACAGTCCTATCTTACATAAGTCAACTTGCATAATGTCAGCCCATGTATCATTTCCTAACACGTATACCTCCAACTGGTCTTCAGTGTTTTCTTGTACAAACTTACTTACACTAACATTATGGTATGTTGTAAATCTATTAACTTGTTCATGCATCTTTCATTTCTTATGACAGTGTATTTCAGACTTGTCTGATAAAGCACCAAAGTTAAGACTTACATACATTCATATAGAGAGTAAGGGCCTAAATACATATAACAGAACAAAAAATTTACAAAACGCTATGTTCATTACACGTGAGGCACTCTGATGGCTTCTATTCTATTAATTAGAAAAAAAAAAAAAACATGCTGTTCTATGGCTCACCAAACTGATTTATGACCGCTAATGGACAACACTAACAATTTGAAATCACTACCTTATGAACATCAAGGACACAGTGCTTTGCATTCTGTGGCAATCAATGAAAAAAATAAATGAGTAACTGCAAAAGCACTTTCCTTTAGCAATAACAAGGACTAAACTTCTGAACTCACTGATCTATGATTTCTGATGATAAAAACTGACACAGCACTCTACTGCTTTTATCTTAGTACAGATAATTACAAGGGATAAGTGGTTTATCAGTTTGAGAGCTCAGAGTCATCTACATTACACTTCATAAGCCACAACAAAAACAGTATGTTCCAACCATAATAACCCACATGAATTCAATCTACAATGTCTCTATCTTCATGGGAAATGTATTTATAACCAAATTTAAGATACTAAATAAAAATTAGTTGATAATTATTCCAGACAGAATTACAAGTCAATATTCTTTTCAAAAATGGTAAAAGTTGGGGCAGCAGGACAAGAAGTTAACAATTCTATCAGGAATAATTTGGCTCAAATCATGGGAGAATTTTAAGAATTTTCCTCTGGAAGGACGGCTTACTTGCATACTTACGGCTTTCCTGATAAAAAGCTCAATTCAGGAAGGTAAGTACATTTTCAGGGTATTCAGCCCCTTCTTGAAATCATTTCTTTAATTAATCTTGGATTCCGCAAAATGTCAGGACAAATCACAAAACAATGTTATGATGAGAAATTCATTGGCTGTATCACAAACATAATTATTTCTAATCTTTTATTATCTATATTGACATCTCATTAACTTTGTATTTTGTTCTCTTCATTTTTATCAAATATGCATAGAATCACTGAAGTAAGTATCATCATAATGTAGTATATCATTAGATCTGGAACCATATAAGAATTTTAAATATACTTTATGATTCACCTGCCCAAATACTCTTAAAGAACTGAGCAAAACAGTTCTATAATGGCTCATTTAAAACACAAGATTTGATTTCATAAAGTTCTAGTGAAAAAAAAAAAAATCCAGCTCTCTGCTCTGCAGGGAGTCTGCTTTCCTTCCTCTCTGCCAGCCTCTCTGCCTACTTATGATCTCTGTCAAATAAAAAATAGGAAAAAAAATCTTTAAATAAAGATAATGGAATTAAAAAAAATACACATTAGAACTAGGAGAGATCTTTTAGGAAACCTAATCTAACTCTCTACTCAATGTTTAGATTTTCTTAATGAGTGATTTATTCCGTTTTTTTATTCCACAAGGCTGAACTATTTCAAGTAGCATATATCAATTTGGAGCTCTGTTATAAAGTTTTGTTTTGTTTTACATGGAAAAAAAAAGTCTCTCCTCACTAAACTGTCTTTTTTCCTACAATATGCTGCCCTATCTTCAAGTTTTCCTCAAATGTTTTCTAGCTGATTTTGTCCCTCTTATGTAGCACCTCCCCCCCAAAAAAACAAACTAGATTTAGTCCTTCGAACAATGTTTTTCAAACGGTGGAGTGTGACTCACTGCATTAAGAAATAAAGAGTTTTTAAAAATTAAAATAGGATTTTAGAATACACAGTATATACTAAAGGTTAATACATCCATAAAACCTTTGAGATAGATTTAGCACTTTATTGAAGTATAATTTACACACAAAATTCACTTATTTTAAGTGCACGATTCCATGTTTTCTAAAGGGTTTGTGAAGAGTTTTACAGAGCTGTGCCCCCATCATCACTATCCAATTTTAGAACACGTCCAGGTGCCCACTAGCAATCACTACCCACCCTTCTTACTCCAGCCCAAGGCAACCACTCATCCTACTTTCTATCCTTACGGACTATGAACTAGATTGTAAGGTAAAATTTCTTACTGGGTTGCAAAAGTCAAAACATTTCAAAGGCCACTACTTTAAAGCGTGCTGTAGTGAAACAAGAGAGCAAAAATTTCACCCAATACTGTCAGTATATATGGAAAATGGTATATTGAACCAGGATCTCTGGGAGGAAACTGAAAGAACTAAATCTAGAAATATTTATTTGGGGGAGAAATAGTCAAAGTGGGGGGTGTTTAAACAAAAAAGATATATAGACTGAGATGGATGGAACCTGGTCACTGAATAATGGTACAGAGTTTGGTTCTTATTAAAGTTACAACCAAGAGTTCTCATCTGATGGGTGGTCACAGGCCCAGAGCATACTCAGGGGGATGCCATGGGCTCCTGCATAGTATATCACCAACATCTTATATAAAAGAGCCCAAACTGCCTAGGAAAACAGCTGATACTATAATATGGCATAGGACATTTTTCTTTTAATCAAGATTTGTTTAAAATCTTGATAAAAAGGGGCGCCTGGGTGGCTCAGTAGGTTAAGTGTCCACCTTCAGCTAGGGTCATGATTCTGGAGCCCTGAGATCCAGCCCCACCATCTGGCTCTCGGCTCAGTGGGGAACCTGCTTCTCCCTCTCCCTCTGCTTGCTGCTCTGCCTACGTGTGCTCTATCAAATAAACATAAAATCTTGGTAAAAAGGGAGATAAATGCTTCCATGGTGAGCGTTGTCCTAGATTACCTCTTTTAATCCTCACAGTGAGTTGATGAAGGCTGTACCATTATCCAACTTTGAAGTTATGTAAACAGACTCAGAGAAGGTAACTTTCCCAAAGTCACACAGCTCCTAAATTAAAGGTTTGCTTCTATTCACTGTTATTTTTCAGTACTGACACCGTCCCAAACCAGCGGTATGCCTCCGCAGTTCACTGGGCACTCTGACTCTGGCTCAGGAAGGAGCCGCTGCGGCCCGAATATGTAGCACGTGTAGAATTCCAGATTCGTCTCTGCCACCTTAAACTAGCGACGAGTCTTCAGGCAAATACGGCGAGGCAGATTAAATTGCAGCAAGAAAAATGCATACCTTATTCTAAAGTCGAATATGAGTCCTTTATCTCATAGCAACAGAGTGACTACTGTCAACAGCCTCAGAGCTAAGTGGATTATTACTACTACCTTCACCTGAATCCTAGAAAAGCGAATCTCTGAAACCTACGTCTTCACCTGTCGCGGTGTGGGGGGGAAGGGGGGGTGAGAGGCTGGGAGGGAGGTGCTGGTCCTCTCTGCACCCCCGTGGCCCTCGCAACGAAGAGGGGTCCAGTACGTTGGCGAGTTCGGCCTCGGCCGGGAGCACGGACGGACGCGTCCCTCGGGATGAATTTGCACCTGCCAAGCGTTTTAAGGCACGCGGCCCCCGCTACAGGTTTGAAGGCGACGTCGCAACCCCGGCGGCCGCAGCCTCCCCGCGCCGGCGGAGCCCAGGAGTGCGCCTCACCCGGCGCCCGGAGCCCGCCCGCCCACCTTCCCCGCCGGGCGCTGCTTCCCTCTGGGAGCCTCCCGGGCCGCGGCCTGCCCCGGGAGCCCCGCGTCTCTCACCTCCTCGCTGTGCGTGGACGGGCACTTCTTCCGCAGGCGACCCCAGTTGAGTAGGTTCCCCGTCTGCAGGTGCAGGGTGCGGGCCCGCGCCAGCAGCGCCCCGGCCGCGCGGCTGTCGGTGCCCATGGCAGCGGCCGACGGAGGCGGGCCAGGCAGCGACGGGGCCGCAGGCGAGGAAGGAGGCCGCCCCGCAGGACGCGGTGCCCGAGGCCGGAGAGCCGAGCGCGAGGCTGGCCGCCCCACGCGGCGGGACCTCGACCTGCGCTCGGGACCGAGGGAGGCCGGACGGTGGCGGAGCGGTGGCCCGGGAAGGACGCGCTGGCCGCGGCGGCTGCTGCTGCTACTGCGGCCGCCGCCGGAGAGCTGACTCCCAACTGAAGGGACCGTTTCCTGGAAGACAATGACTAAGCAGAAATCGCGCCTGAGAAAGTGCTTGGTAACCGTTACCCGTCCCACGGCGGGGCCGGGCGGGGCGGGGCGGGGCGCCGAGAGAGCAGCGGGACCCACGCCCGCCCGCGGGTGACTGGCCCTTGGCCTGTGGCGGGCGTGGCGCCGGGCGGCGGGCGCGCGGCGGAGTGAGCGCGGGGCGCGAGGGGCGCGCGGGGCGGGGCGGCGCGGGACGCGGCGCTCGGCAGGGCTCCCCCTGCCGGTCAGAGGACGGCGCGCCGGCCTGTGCCCCTTCCGCCTAGCTTCGCCAGCGGCGCTCGCGGTCTCGCCTCCCAGCCAATGAATGGGTGGTCGCGCTGGTGATTTTCCTCCACACCTCTTTAAAAAGACAGCGAAATCCCCTACCAAGGCTTTGAAATATTAGCTGGTTTTTGTTTTCAAAAGCGGGTGTTAAGGCAAAGTGCCACTTCATTGCTTGTTTACCCTCTTAGTTCATTTTCTTTCTCACGGTCTTTCCCCGGGAGCTGCGCGTTTTTCTTCATGTTCATTCATTACAGGTCTAATATCTTACACTATTTGCTGGACAGGGTGGGAAGTCCACGAGTAAGACTTAATCTTTGCCTTTGGGAAGCTAAAACTCCAGTTCCAAAGATAAGGCCTAAGCATATGAAAGAGTATCTTAGGGCAGTTTCCAGATGAGTTCAGATTAAAGAGAACACTGCATCCGGTGAGATCAGGGATTTTACCAGCCATTCCCTTAGACATGGTTGTGATTCTTTCCTCCTATTAAATTTCATGTATGGTAGACGTGGTAGACTCTCAAATTGAACATTTATTGAGCTTTCCCCAAGAAACTTTTACCTTTGTTAAAAGAAATCAGATCTATTAAAAGGTAAAATTCTATTACAGGATAAATTCCAGTTAGTAAGAATTCAGGGCGAAGTGGAAAAGAAGCTCTTTCTTGTAGGTGGTTAGAGACTGAGCCTGATGTTGAGTAGATATTTGTTGGCTGAATGAAGGTAAGAACTCTTTGAAGAGAAGGGTAATGCCAGAAGCAGGAACAAGCATGGGGTATTTTAATTAATATAAACATTTGATCCTTATGTTGAATTTCCTGTGGCATTTTTTGACTCCTTGTATATTCTCTAATACCACGGAAATAATTCTTTTTTTCCCCCCATGGAAATAATTCTTGATTAAAACTTAGAGGTTGTTCCTCCTAAACTATTAGACCGGATTTCTTTCTGGGAATGTATATAGCCTATCGGTCTCGGACATAAAGCTGTGTGGCTTGCAAACCTGTCTTTACCAGGTACTGGCTATTTTAACTTAGGCCACTTAGTCTCTCTGTTTCACTTTCTCGAATCTGGGCCAGATGATAGTTTAAACCATATGAAATTGCTGATAATTGACCATTTTGACCTACAGCCAGGTGCCATGGTTCCCCCTGATATAGTATGTACCACACTGAGTAGAAGTGAGGAATCAGCTTACTAAAAGCCCTTGGTAGAGTATTTGGCTCATGGTAAAAGTTCAGTAAGTGAGAGCTCCTATTAGTAATGCTTCCACTCTTTCTCCCTTACAGTCCACTTCTCACAACATTGGCAAATTCATGACATGAAATCACAGCAGCCTTCTGTTGTGTTTTTAAAGTTTACATTATATAAACTCATTTACTCTTCATAGCAACTCAGATAAATAACTTATTGAAACTCTCACTATTAGTAAGTGTTGGGGCCCCAATCAAAACCTAGATCCTTTATCTTCGATCTCCTTACTCTTGCATGCTACAATTTACTTTTGACACAAAAAGTGTGTTTATTGAGGTGATTTTAATTTTGAATGTGTGTGTGCATGATTTATATGCTTTTTATGCCTGTACAGCTTTAAAAAAACTATATATTATAGTTATTGATACCCTTATTATAGAACCATAGTTTTGAGAAAGGGAAACATAATCTTCTAAATTTATTTGGTGACAAAAACAAAAAAGAAAAATCCAAGGAACTTTATTGTATATAGTTACTTTGAAGGAATCTAAGGAATCTTTTCTATAGAGGGGGAGTAATATTGCTGACATTTCCACCTTTGAGAATGGTGTAATTCTGGTTTAATGTGCTTTAAAATTTTTCAGAAATTGTTTGTAAATATAAAAATCACTAACATCCACTGCTCTTTTTTCATTCTCTTTCCAGGATCTGATGTTATTGTCCCTGTCTCCCTTTGAGAACCACTCTCCTCAACTGGCTTATAATACAATATATTTGATCACTGAACATTTTAAAAAAATCGTAATGAACTGTTGGAAGCCCAATAGGAGCTCCTGAGGTGTGAGTGTTTAAATTTAAGGCAAAGAGCAAAAATGGTCTCATGGATGAATTTTTACAGGAAGTGATCACATTTTTACTCACAGTCTGTTTGCACTTTATACAAGAATAAACAAAATGTGAGAACTAAAATTCATTTTACCTTATGAAGGGATGACCTGATGCATCTTATTCTTAATAAGGTAAAATGGATTTAAATTATCAGATTTTGGTTTGATATTTTATGCAATTGATTTTAAATTTAATAATACATTATTATATTCTCTATAACAGAAAATATAGTACAAAGATGTCTATCTCATCCATATTAAAAACAACTTAATACTTCATTATATGAATATCTATAATGTATTTATTCTCTGCATTTGATGGCCATATTTGGAGCTTTCAGGCTCTTGCTAGAACACCCATTGTGGCCATACACATTCTTAGTACTTGCCTGTTTGTACACGGAGGAACATTTTTCTCTGATAACTACATGTTACATATTACTGTCTTCAAGGGTGTGCACATTCAGTAGCTACTGCTGAACCAATTTATATTCAAATCTAAATTACATAAGACTACTTATTTCTTCCCATAGTCACCAACATTAGATATTATCCGTCTTTTCAATTTTTGTTACACTGGTGGATAAATATATCTCATTATTCTTTGATTGCTGGTAGGATTTCATTGTTTTATGATATATTGTGATCATACTCTGTGATTTTGCATGCCTTTAAAATTAATATTGTATCATACGCATTTTTCTCATGTTATTACACTGAATTATTTTCCTGTCTCTGTTGACACACAGACAAGAACATCGCTAATTCTCGTCAATTGTTTTGGCCTTAAAACATGTTTCATCAAGGCAACTAGCACATGTCTGTTGCCAGTATGTAACCCCTGGAGACAAAAAGGCTTTTAGCAAGGGGCAAGTTAGACATGTTTAAAAAAAATTCACAAGCCCGGTTTCTTTTCTCTTGGTACCTGTTTCTGTAGCAATTCCGATGGGGTGTGTTAGACAACCTTCCATGAAGGGCTGTGGGCTTCTCTATCAGTTACCGAGGCGATGGTTTGCCCATGAGACACAGACTGTGGTCTGCCTCACTGCCTCAGGAACTCCAGGCTATGTTGTTTCATTATGTGCCGTGTGGTAGAAAACTTCTGTTGGCACTCAATCCCCAAACTCCTAGGGTGCCTTCCTCTACAACAGAGCCTGGAGGCTAAACCCTGTAATTCTCAGCATCCCTTGTAGCACTCCTTCTAGGTAAAGATGAGGTTATATCAATTCCATGCACTAGTTTTAGATTTCAAAGGTAGAAGTGTGTAGGGGAGCATCTTTCTGTATCTTCAGCTATTGAGTTTTGCAACAGCCGTGCTCTGATGTCCTGTCCCCAGCTTTACAGATGTCAGGAGGCAGTTCCGGCCACTTACTGACCCCTGGATCAAAGAAAGTGTAATCAAATGGCAATCTCCCGATGGCTCACCCTTTTTAGCTTGACACAGGATGAGCTCTCTTGGAAGGACACTTCTTTTAGCAGCATCGTTCTTAGAGTTATTCCTAGAGACCCAGTCCAGAGCTTGTTCGTCCAACCTTCAGCTTTGTAAGCACCTAACTCCCTGTATGAAATATCCTCCACTTAAAATAGCGTGGTTTCTGTTCCTGCGCTTGACCCCTGGCTGATACCATTTCTGTTCTTATAATCACATTTGAACGTATTACTACATTGAAAGCGTAAAATAATTTTTTTCTCATCTCTGATAAACATCATCCTATAATTTTTAAGTGTCCATTAATATAAAAGTTTACACATTTGGGCAAAATAACTTTAGTTCACAACTGTGTACTTGAAAGAGCATTCATAAGCATGTCACACATATTTTTTTTCCAAGATTTTATTTATTTATTTGAGATAGAGTGAGAGAGCACAAGCAGGGAGAGGGGCAGAGGGAGAGGAAGAAACAGGCTCCCTATTGAGCAGGGAGACCCATGTAGGGCTTATTCCCAGGACCCTGGGATCATCTGCACTAAAGGCAGATGTTTAACCAACTGAGCCAACCAGACACCTCTATGATACGCAATATTTAAAATATTTTTTGTATAAAAATATGACAGCAAAGTTCAGGAAGATTAAAAGCAGGGAAAAACTCATAATTCTGATGTGCATTTTGAGGATTATATTCATAGGTAAGTGAATGACAGATGATGGCTAGCCAGAGGAACATTCCAGTAGAATTGTTAAGAGAGTAAGAACATTGTATCAGATAATCTTAGTTCAAACCCTGGCTCCGACACTGGGCAGCAGCATAGGTTTGGGTAAGTTTTTTATTCTCTCTTCCAGAAAAGTGGGATAACACTAGCACTCAATTCATACAGTTGTTATGTAAATGAGATAATATTTGTTAAACTCTTAGCAAAATGTATGGCATATTTAGCTTAATAAATGGTAACTATCATGGGGATATAAATATTTATTGCATATTTCCCTGAGAAAATACAAGACTATTAGGACAAGGGTTCTAAAATTTTCTGGCAAGGAAACTATACTTACTGGTTTCTAGTTTTAGTTGTTTCTCTATATTACTTCATATGATCTATGGTATGCTGGCTGCCTTCCTCAAAGAGTCATCCAGGATCCCCAAGGAAATACTAGAGGATGAAAGAAATTACCTTCAAATGTATTCAGAACTTACTAATACTTACTAATACTAATACTATTAGTATTAGTATTACTAATATACTCAAATATATTCAAAACTTACTAATAGTAATACTTACTAATAACGTACAAGCTGTACTTAAAATCTGATAGTGGGTCACCTGGGTGGCTC